GAATAATAAAGTCACTGTCTAAACTATAATACGATTATTAAAACCGGAGATAATAGATTGCCGACAATAAGCTAGATAAATAGATTAGCAAATCAATCTCATTATATTAAATCGGTTAATACTTGTATTCTCCTTTACTGCGTTTAATATATCTAGTTGTATTTGATAAACATGCGACATCGTGAACCTTGTTAAGTTCTTAAAAGTTTTCTATAGTTATTTAATATGATTTATGTAGAAATACTTAATTTAACTTGTATTTCAATACAATAAATCCGTATAAATTTATGGATTATATGTTCGCAATTACCTCTGAAATAACTCTAAATTTTCTGATCTGCAGAATTAAATACATTTTTCATGCAAAATCTCTACAAAAGCATATCAATCATTTATATATTATATAAATATTATACTCTTATACATTATATAAATGCAAAATCAAGGAAGTGAAATGAAATTCTTGATTCAAATTCTTGATTTTTACACACTTGAGATGTGTTTAACCCCCACAAAAAATGAACTAATTAATGACAAATGACGCGCAAATTAAACCTGGGTTAAGAAAACCATTCCTTCTTAAGTGGGTTCTTTACATGCTGGACTCCCGGTACTTTTTGAGCTTTTTACGAGCTTTGTGGACTCGTAAAGTTCTATTATTTTTGTCTGTAATAGTGCACGAGCAAAGCAAAATGATTGTGTTTGCGAGAAGTGAAGGATATAGTTCAATTTTCATCGTTCAAATGGAATAAATATTTGACTGATTTGCTAACTTTTCCAAACAAATCTAATGTACTATATTTTACGTGGGATGCATTACGTATTGGAAATTAGAAGAACCTTAAGTAGAGCGTACCACACAATGGTTGAGGAATATTTCTTATAAATTTTAATTTATAACAATAATATTATTAAATGTATCAATTATTAATTTAATTTAAATTAATGTAGTCATAATTACTTACTACTTGGCAATTAATTTATTTCTATCGATTTTAAATCTTTCTATGAGTTGTTATTTTATTTTTAGGTATTGTTTAAATTTTATCTAAAATGATAATCAATCTCATAAATGACTTTGGCTCTTGACGCAAGTATTAAATTTAAAAAATGTTAAATAATTTTTATATATAAATTTTAATGTGATTACTTTCATTTATTTTCAAAAGTTTGATCTTTGTTTTGCGTATTTATTCAAAAATATATATATATTTTGGCTATTTTCGTCAACTTAGAAGGGTGTTCATTTTGATCTTATATAAATATAAAACGATGCATAAATATGTTTATAATTATTTATTTTTAAATAAAAATAAACAATGTCTGGGATAAAATTGTCTAGTCTTGTGATAAAGAAAACGTAACTATTAACTATAATTCTGACACAAAAGTTATTAAAGTTATTATTTTACAACTTTTACAATTAAATTTTATTGAGGTGTGCTTTATCGTATTATAAATATATATAAAAAAATTCCTTCACATGTTTCAAATAATATATAAATATTATTAATCATACTAACATTATTTTTGATATGACTAATACTAAATAACTTAAATAATTTTTAGCTGAATTATTATTTTATTACAGATTGATAGAGGGAAGCGAAAAAATATTGTTATAATAATTTACTTAGAAGGTCCCATTACGACGTTTCGACCAAACATTGCCGTATTTATATTAATTAATACAATATAACCACGGAATTTATTTATTGTTTTCACTGCTTTGTGATTAGCAATTAAGTAGACTCTGAAAAGCTGTTGGATTTTATTGGATCAATGAGCTTAGATCATTAAATATTGTATAAAGATGTAGTTTATATAACTAGTATGATTAGGGAATTGTCTTCTACGTTTGTGTTTCTTTAATACGAGACACATAATATAGTTATATACGTGCATACATATTTACAGTATGAGTTTAAGAGAAATATAGAAAATTAATAGAAGCAACAAGTCATGATATAAACATGAGGTTTCAAACGGATTTAACCGTTTCGCAACACAATATTAGCAAACTTTCATTGATCCCTTAGTATAATGGGGTCATCTATTTGTTTGGTTAATTTGTTCGGTAAGCAGTAAAAGTATTGTTTCTTCTCGAACCGTCTCAGATGATGGGTGCATCCATATTGAGTTAACACTAATTTTCGAAGTAATGTATGTTTAACTATTAACAGTTTGAAGTTCATAATCTTCTACTTTTGTATTACGGGATACGGGATATATTTGTTACGGAATATATAATAGAATTTTATTTACGGCAAGACTTTAAGAGAAACCTGAATTTATAAGAAACAACAAGCTGTACTAAAAGCGTGTACTTTTATATGGATGTCTCCGTCTTGTAACACAATACCAGCAATCTCTCATTGATCCCTTAGTATAATAGAGTCAACGATTAGTTGATTTGTTCAGTAACTAGTAAGAATGTTTAGTGCAACTAGTGAGTTGATATATATTAGAATACTAACAATTGAAGTTTATTAAAGTGTCTTTTATTGTCAAACTCGATATTTTTCAGAAAATATTATTTATCTTAACATGTTTAAAATATTTTTTTTAGGTATAATATTTCTAAGATATAATTTTTGTTATCATTTTTTAATTTATTTGTGTTGAAAATATATGTCATTTTTGGTTTACTTGGAATAATTAAAAAAAATAAAACAAAATATAATATTCAAGAAGTATTAAATAGGAAAAATGGAATGAAAGAATCCTTTATACAATATGCGAATATTCGAATCTGAGGTCTTGTAATTTGGACATTTTCAACGATTAGTTTAATTACTTTAGTAAATTATATGAGTATTTAATTACTTTATTTAATTACTTTATTTAATTACCTTAGTAAATGATATGAGTATTTTCTACTTATATGTTCTTTTTAATTAAATGGATGAGGTTTACAATATCATTTTAAAATTTTGTTCAAATTAAAAATTAATGAGGGTCTGAAATTTAGGTAATGATTTTTGATTTTTATTTTAATTTAATTTAAGATGTTATGATGTTGTAACATCTACATTTTGCTTTAATAAACAAGAGATGTGGGACTTCTTCATGTATCTTCAACCGTAGTAAGTTCTGGGGGCTTTTTAGTCTAGTTAAATAATTGATATATTTTGACTGACCCCCATTGCTTGACCAATTAATGCGTTCCAATTAATCAGTACATAAACGGATTGATCATACCTTAAAAAAATCAAAGTTCGGTTGGCAATAAGAGATTTCGTTGATGTTACTGACATTTCCATTCATTTTAATA